GCTCCCCGCACCGGAGCGGCTGCACCGGGACACCGCCGCCGTGCGCGCCGCCCGCCCCCGGCCAGCCGCAGCCTACGACGCGCCAAACACCGCGCGGGGAGGAGCCCAGGATGCGCGGGGGCCACGATTGCGGGCGGACGGGGGTGGCGGCGAGGGAGGAGGCGCGCGAGCGGGGTCAGCCCGGGTGCCAATCCCTCCAGCAGCTCCAAGGCGGGAGGCGGGATGCGGCGGAGCCAGGAGACCAGGAGGTGGCTCAGCCTGTGAAGTCCCTCCTCCTTCCTAGCCTCAGGGGCATCTTTCTAAGTGTGGAAAAGTTTGCCTGGACAAGGTCTTGTGAGGCTACTCCAGGGCTGTCCTGGAGGCAGAGCAAAGAGACGGGGGGCTGGGACTTGTCCCCCCAGATTCTCGAAAACTAAGAGAAACATTCCGCACGTGAGCACGACAGAGCAAAGGTCCAGCCCAGCAAGGCTGCAGCTCTTACTATTCAGGGGCTTTTTTTTTCCTTTTGGTTTTTTATGTGTGTGTTCGTGTTTGCACACGCTCGTGTGGGGGCCAGAGGTCAATGTTGGGTGTCTTCTATCACTCTCCATCTTATTTTTGGAGACAGGGTCTCTCTCTGAACCTGGGACACCCATTCAGCTAGACTGGGCTGGACAACTCCATGGATAAGTGTGTCTCTTCTGCCCCCCAGTGCTGGGTTACAGGTGCTTGAAGCCAACCCACCTTTTACCCAGTGCTGGGGATCTGAACTCAGTCCTCATGTTTGTGTTAAATTTAACCCACTGAGCCATCTCCCCCGCCTCTCTTTTGGGTTTTTTTTTTGTTTTTTTTTTTTTTTTTTTGGTCTTTTTGAGACAGGGTCTCCCTGTAGCCCCAGCTGTCCTGGAACTCACTATGTAGACCAGGCTGGCCTTGAACTCACAGAGCTCCACCTGCCTCTGCCTCCCAAGTGCTGGGATTACAGGCATGCACCACAATGTACCTAAGCTGCAAAGACTTTACCACACAGTAGCTGAAAGCATTTCCAGTGGGTTAAGAATTGAATTAAGGTGGCTGGAGAGATGGCTCAGGGGTTAAGAGTACTGACTGCTCTTGCAGAGAACCCTGGTTCAGTTCCCAGCACCTACATGGTGGCTAAGAACCATCCTAACTCCAGTTCCAGGGGATCCGAAGCCCTCTTCTTATCTTGGCAGGTATTGCATGACACACATGCAGGGAATACATTCATACACATAAAATAAAAATAACAAAAAAAGAATTGAATTAAGCTGGGCGTGGTGGTGCACGCCTGTAGTCCCAGCCCTTGGGAGGCAGAGGCAGGAGGATGGTTGCAAGCTGGAAGCCAGCCTGATCTACATAGTGAGTTTCAGGCTAGGCCATCCAAGGCCCCATAGTGAGACCCAGTCTCAAAACCCCCAAAAGAGGGCCCAGTGTGGTGGTGCACGCCTTTAATCCCAGCACTTGGGAGGCAGAGGCAGGAGGATCTCTGAGTTCAAGGCCAGCCTGGTCTACATAGTGAGTTCTAGGACAGCTGAGGCTACAGGGAGACCCTGTCTCAAAAAGACCAAAAAAAAAAAAAGAAGTTCAGGGCTGGAGAGATGGCTTAGCAGTTAAGAACACTGGTTGTTCTTGCAGAAGACCTGGGTTCAAATCCCAGCACCCACGTGGCAGCTAACAACTGTTTGTAACTCCAGTTCTAGGGGATCTGACAGCCTCTTCTGTCCTCCACAGGCATTGCACGACGCGGGTGCACTTACCTACATACAGGCAATACATGCATACACATAAGATTAAAAATAAAATTAAAAAATAAAAAGAAGTTCAAGATCATCCTCAACTACATACTGAATTCAAGGCCAATCAGCACTAGAAATCCTGTATTGACGATGATGATGATGATGATGATGATGATGATGATGATAACTTGTTTTAGGAGGAAGGGAAGAGTGGATGACAGGCACAGGCCTCCTAAGGCCTCTTTTGCCCTAGCACTTCCATACTCTGTTATAGTTTAGTCCCCAGCCTGGTGGCCCTCTCCTAGGGCAGTGTCTAGATGGAGCATCACGTCTCAGCACTTCAAACCTCATCATATTGGCACAGAAAGTACCAAAGACATTGAAAGAGGGTAGGGCCGTGACCACAATTGTAGAAAAACTAACTTTGGAGTAAAATGCAAGGCTGCTTGGGAGAAAGGCGATCAGCCAAGAAGCTTTTGTCATGAATAGTTGAGATAAACAGGAGGAATAAGGGTGGGACAGCCAAGCACTGGTGGGGGGCTGACCTAGCAGCATTCCAGTCCCGACCAGCATACTTCAAGGCCTGATCCAAGACAGGGACACAGCCACTGGTGAACTCCCTTGGTCTGTCCTGATGCTTTCTGGGACCACATTCCCTAAAGCTGCTTGAGCGCCAACTCTTGCATCAGCTGCCTCTGCAGTACCCAAAACTCAGACAAAGATGATCACAGCTACTCAACCAGAGACTTTTGAAAGGAGCTGCTGAGGCCACAAGAAAGTTTCACCAGATTAGACATAACAACTGAGGTGGTACTCACACAGAACACCACCCAAGCTGGCCATTGTCCCCTCCTCTGGGACATGGAAGGCTAAGCTACACCACCTGCTCCCCCCGGGAGGGTGGAGGACCTGGGCTTTCTCCTCAAGAGGCATAGTAGGTTCTAACCCTCTGCTGGCAAGTGCCTCAGAGGCAGAGGCTCCTGTACCAGACACCTAGATTCCCCAGGGCCCCCCACGTCTTGGTCAGGTAGTGTTAAGGATGCTTGATCAGGAGTAAGGTGAGCAGAGATCTGGGAGTATTTCACACCCACAGGGGCCAGCCCTGTTCCTTGTTCTCCAGGACAGATTCTTATTTTTCTCTAGCCAGTGGCATGTTCCTATGTCTAGAAGGCTCTGCACAAATGACCTGTGTTCTTTCTTGTATCTCGGGCTAGTGAGTCTGTCTCCTCCCACAGTTATGTAACATATGAATTCTGGCCCACAAACCCAGAGCTGTAGGAGAAACTGAATTGTAATTTTGGGTCACCATCCCACTGGGGTGATAGGAAATTCTACTTCAGCTTTTAAAAAATCTTTTTCATTGAGGTCAACTTACAAAATATTTTTAATTTATCATTTTTAGCAGGGCATGATCATACATGCCAGTAATCCCAGCACCTCAAAGGTAGAGGCAGGAGTTCAAGGTCATCCTTGGTTACATAGGGGGTTCAAGGCTAGCCTAGACTACATGGAGACCTGTTTCCAAAGGAAAAAATTTTACAAACTATTTTCAAGTCTATAATTCAGCATCCTTTAATATACTCACAAGATTGTGCAGCCATCACCACTATCTATTCCAGAAGGTTCTCATAGCCAAAAAGGAAACCCCATACCCATCAAGCACATCTGCCTTGCCCCAGCCCTTGTCAGCCACCAATGTCTTCTCTGTCTCTGTGGGTTTAACATGAATGGAGTCCTACACCATGTGGTCTCTCAGGACTGACTTCTTACTGGTCACATGTTTCCCAGAGGCGTCCAGGCTGAGGTATGTGCCCACTTTCCATTCCTTTCCTTCTCAGCCAGTTTTGAGGGTCCTCACCCTTCCAAGTGGCCTTAGGATCCCCAAGGTTTACAAGGGACAGTCAACCACCATCATGGATGACATTTCTCCCTAAGTCAGCGTGTCCCCTGAAGCCTGTCTGACTACGTTTCCATGCCTCTGCTAGGATGCGACCTCTCCTAGCTGCCTGCCCTGCCCCATGGCCACCTTCAGGAGTGTGTCACTGAGTGGTGGGTAGCCCCACTGTCCTAAGACACCCCAGAGCTCTCTGCCTTTCCCAGGTTGAATAAACCTTCCTTACCTCACTACAGTCCTCCAAGACCCTCTCCTCCCTGAACCCCCAGGATACCCTGAAATCCCTTCAGTACCTTATGTTGTCAGCACAGGTCAGTCTCATTCCCAGGCTGCTTTGCTCTCTGTCCCACCAAAATCCTGTAGGCAAGAAGGTGCAAAGCTGCTGAAAGAAATGCTTACAATTCAGATATGCAAGAGAAACTGTTTATTTCAAGTGACTGTCCTGCCACCTGCCCAAGTCTGTCTTTTCCCTGTGTGTCTTGCACATTTATGAAATGCTGCTGTTCACTAGACCATGGAGAGCACAGATTCGCAAAGCCCAAACCTTCAAGGACAGACAGGACACAGGTAGGAGTAGGGAGACCGTGGTGGAGGTCGGAGGGTCTTTGCTGAGTGGTAACGCTATTCTAATGGGGCCATCGCGCCTCAGTTTTCCAGAGACGCTGAGAACCTGAGGTGAGATGAGAAGCGACTCCATTTCTGATGCTAGTGAGTAATTCTTTTTTTTTTTTTTTCTTGGTCTTTTTGAGACAGGGTCTCCCAGTGCCCCAGCTGACCTGGAACTCCCTATGTAGACCAGGCTGGCCTCCATCTCATGGAGCTCTGCCTGCCTCTGCCTCCCAAGTGCTGGGATTAAAGGCATGTGCCACCACACCTGGCCATAATTAATATCTTTATTCTATACAATACTGTATGAAGAAAAAACATGCACAGTCAGAGCAGCCCCTGAGCTGCCAGGTCACCGTTTTCTTTTCTTTTCTTTCTTTCCTTCCTTCTTTTTAAAGATTTATTTATTTTTATTTTTGTCTATGTTTTTTTACTCTATGTATATAAGTGTACTACATGGGTACCTGGTACCCAAGGAGGCCAGAACAGGGCATCAGATCCTATAGAACTGAAGTAACAGATGGTTGTTATCCACCATGTGGGTGCTGGGAACTAAACCCAAGTCCTTTGCAAGAGCAATAAATGCTCTTAACCACTAAACCGTCTCTCCT